GAGGGCTAGCGGCTAGACCTCGGATTCAGCATGCCAGCTACTAAACGAGGTAACGAGCGGTGCGCCCAACCCATCAATAGGTGTATGCTCTGCGGTAACGGATGCCAACGATACCCCACTTGTTCTACACTGCCGCTCAAGACGCTTCGAAACAGGAGATACCAGAAAGCCAGCATGGGACTTCAACAAAAAGTAAAGTGGTCACCTGATCTTTGAAGCCTTAGTTGAGGACGGCCGGCTGCTACAACGTAATCTCTATGATTGATTGCACAAGGCTGCCCTCCGATCGTCGGGGGAGCTTCCGATGAGCAGAACCAATTGTGAAACGCATTATCTTCGGATGCACAGAAGGCGGCTAGCCACGGGAACTCGCAAACCACATCACTGCGAACGACACCTTGCCTTGCACGATCGATGCGACCGTGGCCTGCTGAGTCTGGCACGCTCTCGCGTTCCCTTGGGACTGGGCAGCCACGACGAGCTCGACGGGCTTCGGACTTCGGGCTTCTGAGCTTGACGACGCATGTTCCCGTTCCTGTCCATCTCCTTAGTTTGGCTACCCAGTCACGAACGAGATGACCACTTCACGGAGCCCGAGATGCTCATCAATGCTACCCGGTCGGTCGTTCTGATCGGTTGCCCCGGTGGGGGTGTGGGGGTGTGAGGGCCTGCTCGTCCTTCAAGACTTGGCCCCTGACCTGTGACACGCAGACGGCTTAATCGAGGACAGGTACAATGCCGAAGTCCAGGTTGGCATCCAGGACGGCACCCAGACTACAGGATCCGTTGAAGGGGGGAAGCTCTTCCATCGTGGTTCAAGACCCCCCGCACGTGGAGTAACATGCCTGGGGGTGCTTGCCAGGTTGTACCAACCTATTGAATAGACAGGAAGGCGAATGTCCACCTGTGGCCAATTGCCAATTCAGCTGTGGAGAGACCAGGGGCCTGTTCGCAGTCAAGACTTACAAACTGTCTCCGCAAGAACACAAAAGAGACGCACGGGATGTCACAACTAAAACCATGCGAGTTTCATGTTGACCCGCGGGCACCAAATGGGCCCACAACAAACCATGACATACGCAGTGTGAAAACACGACCTCACTTCACTGCGATAGGCATCAACTCCACAGACAAGCCACATCCTCCCGAAATCAACTCGCAGGAACCATGTAACACAGATCGGGGGCGACAAAAGGCCAGTGCGGAATCAGTGGAGATGCCTCGGGAACCATTGAGCATGATGACACTTTAATGCAATTAGCTTTGGGGGGGAAGGGAGTAGAACTGCTGCGCACATCAGTTCAACAATCATGTGGACGTTGGACATAGCTCTGCCTTGCAAACGGCGGCCCACGGACCCTTATACACCAAATGCACACCACACGGCGACAGAAACAGACCTACTGAACGAAAATACCATAATGCGTGCTAAGAACTCGGGGGGATGAATGAGGATCCACAGAGATTACACAGTTGAACATCATGGGAGCCGACAGGGACTCATTGAACGGGAACGGCGGGGGCAAGAAAAGAGGGTGGGGTTGGAGGGGGGGGAACTGAAGGGGGGAGCGGAAATTGATAACCATTGTTACAACCCTCATGCGGGCAATGGACGACTTCCCCCTGCCCCCCTGCGCAAGGCAACCCGAGCACTCAAAACCGGGGGGTGGGGCACAACCCCACAGCATCAGCAAGTCTGCAAGCAATGATTGGAGATTCATTATTCAAGTATCTTTATCAATGGCGAGGGCGGGGGGGAGGCAAATCGGAATTCATCGCGCGCCAATGCAGACTGGTACGAAGTAGGGCTCCTCTAGCTCTCTAAGGCTGCCTACCAACATTCGCTGCACGACTCGCCCCTTCCAATGCTCTCTGGGCAGCCCGATGTCTCCCGGGCGATGTGCAAGGCCTCTGACGTGGTCAAGCTGGCTTCCAGGACTGGCAGAGAAATGTCCTTAATGCGCAAGGGGCCTTGAGGACGACCCACGAGGCCCCAAGAGGACCTGCAGACAGACCACCCCAAGAGGGCCAAAGGGAGGACCGAGACACCCAGCATACCCTAAAGCCAGGTGTGTTCCAAAGGTCCCCACAATGTGCCCCGAGAGGCTGCTGGGAGGGGGGGGGCGGGGTGAAATATTGCTTCTGAGCGGCCTGACGACTTCTAAGACTGCCCAAGAGAACTCCGAAATGACAACCACGACAGGGCGGAAGAGTGCCCACATAACGGACAAAGACGACCCAAGAGGCCAGCGAGGCAACTCAAGAGTGACTGGCGCCAAGAACTGCCCAAAACAGCCCCAAAGGTCTCCATTACACCGTCTCTGGCGGCCCAAATAAGCTTGGAGGAGGAGGAGGAGGAGGAGGAGGAGGAGGAGGAGGAGGAGAAGGAGGAGGAGGAGGAGGAGGAGGAATGGAGGAGGAGGAGGAAGAGGAGGAGGAGGAGGAGGAGGAAGGGAGGAGGAGGTGGAAGAGGAGGAGGAGGGACGAGCAGGAGGAGGAGGAGGACGAGGAGGAGGAGGAGGAGGTCTCCAAAGGGATTGGTGCGCGTTGGCTTCAAAGGCTGTTCGGCCCGAGATGGCTTCGTGAACACACACGGGTCCCAAGACAGCCACAGAGCGCGGCAGAACATTGCCCCGGGCGGCCCAAGAGGGGCGCCACAAAAGGCAGAAGACGTTCTCCCGGGGAGCCAGGACGGCATCATACAGTGGAGACCAATGCCAAGAAACACCCTGCTTGCCTCCAGGGTGCCCTGGGTTTCTTGGGCTTGGATGGTTTTGCGATGGCGAGCGTGACGCTCCCACACCACAAAAACCGATGGACGTCCTGGGGGCCTCAGGGTTGGGTTTCTTGTGGGAGGTTTCTTGTGGACTGGCCTCCACTGTAGAGGTCGCCAAGACTGAACACGACAGGCCCGAGAGGGCGCCAAAGCGCCCCACGACTGCCCAAGAGGAGCCCGCGAGGCCCCCAAGACGCTCCCAACAGCTTCCCCGCCTATACGTCCTGGGTGCCCCGTGAATTCCCCGGGACGCCCCAAGAGGATCCCGAGGCGCCAGCATCGCAACGCCCTCCCCTCCCAGTCTCCCACCTCGCCTCTCTTCCGAGGTAGGGCAAGGTGACAAGGAACATCGAATTCACTGTATACGCGCGCAGGCCTCAATTCTCGACGTCGGCGCTGTTCGGCGCCCTCCCCGGAAGCGCCGACCGCAGCGTGTCGCTTTGATGCGACTCGGCAGAGTTTCGGCCCGCGCCTACATCTGTTTTTTTGTGTCTCTCTCTCTCTCTCTCTCTCTCTCTCTCTCTCTCTCTCTCTTTTCTCTATATATAATATGTATTTACGTACTGATTGATTTCGTTTGTTCTTTTTGTTTTCTTTCTCTCTCTCTCTCTCTCTCTCTCTATATATATGTGTGTGTACTAGAACCATCGCGCGCGTTTCGCGCGCGATCAAGTTCTAGCCCAGGCTGGTGGGGCGCTGGAAGATCTTGGACAGCGCTATCAAGCACAGGCGCGTGACATAGTCGAGCCTCCTGAGGGCCTCTTGGGGACCTCTAGGGTCTTCGTGGGGGCATCTGAAGGGCTTCTGGGGGGTTCTCCGTGCTTCCTCAATTTGGTGGAGGCACCTCTTGGGTGCTTCTTGGGGGGACGTCTTGGATCGTCGGGGTTATCCGGGCAGTCGGAAGGTGATGTTCTGCAATCTGGAGCCGTCATTGGCCGTCTTGGCTGCGTGAAAGCCGGACTTGAGGGCGCCTGGGGCCACACTGAGGCAATCCGGAAGCCTCCCAGGAGCCTCCTGCAGTCAGTTTGATGCATCGAGGGCACTGTTGGGCAATCTTGAGGGTACGTCGCCTTGGGGCCTTTGGGGGCCACTCGGGAGGCTTATGGGGGCCTCGTCGGACCACTTGGGGACTCTGAGCCTTCTCTGGGCCTCTTAAGGCGGATGACTCTGCTGTTGGGTTCGCGTTCCCATTCTTGGGCCTCTCTTGGGGCCCTCTCGGGCCGTCTTGGGCGCCTCAGGCACCGTCTTGGGGCCTCGTGGGCCGCCTTGGGGCCCTCTTTGAGTCCTCTTCGGCTATCGTGGAGCGGTCTTGGGGACCTCTTGGGCCGTCTTGGAGCGTCGGGATACCAAAAAGCTGAAACGCTAGATTGCATCACAAACCAACGGGAAATCCGTGATTTTGGCTTCTTGGGGCCCTTGTGGGAGTGCGGGCCATCCAGAGGCCATCTCGTGTTAGATTTCTCTGCGACAGTAGGCCTCCTGGAGGCCCCTCGCATAGTAGACCGCCTCCTGGAGGCCTCTCCCGGCCCTTTTCATCTGTGTTGGGGCTGTCTTGGGCGGTCTGGAAGCGTCCCTGGAGCCCCAACGCCCCCATGGCGTGTCGGGGGCCCCCTCGCATTGGTCCAGGGATATATGTATATACATATATATGTATATATATATATATACACATATATATATATATACATATATATATATATATATATATATATATATTCACGTATACGTATACATATGTCTATCGATGTGTCTTCTGGGGCGTCTTAGAAAAAGTTGTGGGGCCTGTTGGAGCCTCCTTTGGGCTGCTTGGGGGCCTCTTGGGGCCTCTTGGGGGCCTCTTGGGGGCTCTTGGGGGCTTCCTGGGGGCCTCTTGGGGCCTCTTGGGGGCATCTTTGGGCGGAGAGCTTGAATTTTCAGTTCGCGTTCCCTCTCTTGGGCCCCTCTTGGGGCCTTCTTGGGACCCTCTTGCGCCGTCTTGGACGGCTCTGGGGCCGTCTCGGGGCTCTCTTGGGCCGTCGGGGCCCTCTTTGGGGCCTCTTTGGGCCGTCTTGGAGCGGTGTTGGGCGCCTCTTGGGCGGTGCACTCGCGGCGGAAACACAAAACAGCGAGAATGCAAACACTGAAGATTGACGATTTTGCCCTCTCGAGGCGCTCACACAAATATGTACATACTCACATACACACACACACGCGCGCCCGCACGCGTTCCCCGTCGGCAGAAGAGGGGGAAGGGAGCCAGGGGCAATTGGAGGGCAAACGTTGTCACCGCACTTTGGTCTGACACCCGCCGGTATCTATCTCCCGCTCGCCGCAACCACGCGCTGTCAGAAAATGGCGCCGTCCGTTAGCAACACAGCGCTGGTTATTTCCTGCTGCGTCAGCACCTCTTAGACTAAGCTTCAATAGATGACCTCAGAGGTTTCGGCTCGTACCTCTTGGCTTCTTCGGCGCAAGCACTCTCCTTTTGATCCTCCTAGCTTAAGCTGAGCATGAGCATCGGCACCCGAGGTGTTCCTGTGTGGCAGAGCCTTTTAGGTCAAACTGCAGACCACGTGCGGCTTAAACACAGAAGCGTCCAGAAGCGCGCGCAGACTTCTTGGATCGGCGCTGACCTCCCGCCTCCCCCCATCCCCCTTCCTTTCGGCGTCGCTAGCTGTGAAGGCGGCAAGTGGAGGGGGGGGGGTGCAGAGACAGGTGTACTTATCGGGCCCTGAAGGCCCCCTTTGGGGCCCGGCAGGGCGCCTCGAGGGGCCCTAGAAAGAGCCCCCTTTTCTGCAGCCCTCGCTGCCCCCCCCACCCGCCATTTGTCGCCCCCCCCGTTACGCGACGCCCCCTGCCTGAGCTCGCGGAGCGCGGCGGCGGCGGCCCTGGCGGCGCTGGGGGCGCCGCCAGGGGTGTGGGGATGGGGAAAGCCAGCGCCGACCCTCGGGTCGAGCTTCGAACTGGAAGGCACCCAGCTGCCTCACATGTGAATCTGCGGCCAGCGGGGGGGGGGCTCCCCCACGAAGGGAGGGAGCGCAGACCCAACCCTCCTCCTCCTCCTCCTCCTCCCCTCCTCCTCCTCCTCCTCCTCCTCCTCCTCCTCCTCCTCCTCCTCCTCCTCCCCTCCTCCCCCTCCCCCTCCTCCTCCTCCTCCTCCTCCTCCTCCTCCTCCTCCTCCTCCTCCTCCTCCTCCTCCTCCTCGGCTGGTCGGCTCGTGGATGGGGCGGAGTGCCACCAGAATATCAAGTACGCCGTTTGGCCCGCGGAGGAGGACCTTGTCGGCGGAGAGCCCGGCGAGGAAGCGAGAGGGGGCGAGCCTTCTCAGAAGGCTCAGAAGTCCCCCGGCCTCCTGAGAAGTTCTCCATGCAAGCCTTCCCCGAAGACGCAGATAACCTCTCAGAAGGCCGGAGGGCTTCCGAGAAGCCCCGCCGCCCTATGAGAAGGCCTCCTCCTTCTCACTTCCCCCCCTCGCTCGCCGCCGACTTCAAGCAGGAAAGCATCCCTCGAGTAGAAAATCGACTACAACACTGATTCACCCCGAATTTGATTTTGCCCGCCGAATCTACGACGAATGCTTAAAACTGGAGTCAAATCGCCGAGAATGCTACATACTCCTCGTAGACTCGACAAACAAACCTGGGACACATCGATTACGGTGTGGGCATTGGACAAGGAACCCTTAGATAAGGAATCCAGGGTCTGGAAGTCAGTGGAACTCCAATCGTGGATCGGCAATGGATACCACCGCCGCCCTCAATGGATAAGAAATCCTCCTGGGACTCAATCGTGGATCGGCCATGGATACCACCGCCGCCCTCAATGGATAAGAAATCCTCCTGGGACTCAATCGTGGATCGGCCATGGATACCACCGCCGCCCTCAATGGATAAGGAATCCTCCAGGGACTCAATCGTGGATCGGCCATGGATACCACCGCCGCCCTCAATGGATAAGGAATCCTCCAGGGTCTGGCACCTCCTGGGACTATTCCTTAAGAAACGCCCCCACCGTACGTAGCTGTGGATGCCGTGGCAATGGACACTCGAATCATTCGATCATTGACTTAAACATGTGCTTTACATGTGCAAAGCATCTTCTAAGCATGTCTCGAACATACTTATACATATTCCAGACATGCCTGTTTCTGTTTTAAGACATCTGGCAATTCTTTGGCAGCACGCTTCCTCTCCATGCCTCGACGTCCACGAGTCTGTAGTCGACCCCCTGCTCGAACTCCGCTGCCTCCCCTGTGAGGCCCGTCGGGAGGAGGAGGAGGAAGAGGAGGAGGAGTAGGAAGAGGGGGAGGAGGAGGAGGAGGAGGAGGAGGAGGAGGAGGAGGAGGAGGAGGAGGAGGAGGAGGAGGAGGAGGAGGAGGAGGAGGAGGAGGGGAGGAGGAGGAGGAGGAGGAGGAGGAGGAGGAGGAGGGGAGGAGGAGGAGGAGGAGGAGGAGGAGGAGGAGGAGGAGGAGGAGGAGGAGGAGGAGGATATGGAGGAGGATATGGAGGCGTGCCGCCCGGCGCGGGCCGGCGGGGGCCAAGAGCTCCGCCGGCCGAGCCGCGGCCGAACCAGGCGGCCGGCGGCCAGGCGGCCAGGCGGCCCTAGGCCGAGCTCCAGGACGTTGACTACGATGTCCATCAGGGCCCCGACCTGGGAGGGCCCCCTCTCTCCTCCTCCTCCTCCTTCTCCTCCTCCTCCCTCCTCCTCCTCCTCCTCCTCCTCCTCCCAGACCTAAAGCTGTAGCCATAATCTCTCGGCTGCACGCAGAGAGTGGCCCCAGGCAAGAGTGACCTCTGGTGCGCGGAAGAAAGGGGGCGCGAGGTGGCCGAATCCAGGCGCGCAAGCAGCCGCTGACGCATCGCGCTCAGCGATCGAGGGGACGCCGATGAGCCCGCACCAAAGGTCACTTTGGCGAGGGATGCCCCCCAAAGCTGTACACGTCGTTCATTCCTAATCGTGCTCGTTTCTAATTGTGCTCGCTTCTGATTGTGCCTGGCCCCCTAGTGGCCAGTAAGAGGTCCAGGATAGAACAATTAGAAATGACAGGATCTTGGCCCCCCCAAAATCAAACACTTTCCAGCAATAAGACACGAACAATGTGTAGCCATCAACCTGGGCAAGCATAATCGAGGAACAATGCTTCGGCTACACGCAAGGAGTGATCCTAGGCAAGCGTAACCTTTGGCGCGCGGAATAAGGGGGCGCGAGGTGGCCGAATCCAGGCGCGCAAGCAGCCGCTAACGCATCGCGCCCAGCGATCGAGGGGGCGCCGATGAGCCCGCACCAAAGGTCACTCCGGCGAAGGGTCAGTCTTATCCGTAGCCGACACTTGGCGGCGCGCCCCGGGGGAGGTGAGAAAGGGCCGGCCCTCTCGGAGGGCTCGGAGCACCCCGGCCTTCCGAGAAGTCTGAGCAGACCCCGAGGAGGTAGAGAACCTCTCAGAGAGCCCGAGGGCTTCCGAGAAGCCCCGCCGCCTTGATGAGAGGTCCTTCTCACTTCGCCCCATCGCACGCTGCCGAGTGAACTTAAGGCGGGCCTGTCCCCCTAGAGGCCAAGTTTGGGCGAGAAAATGGGAATACTGAAACATGCACCCAAAATGGTCTCAAATAGTAAAAAAATCGCCCCATCTGATTTTTTCCTGTTTTTGAAGATTCCTCCTGTAATAGGACAGGCCCGACTTAAGAGCAAACTGTCGAAGATCTGCGCGGATGTCTTGGGTCCGCACTGGGCCCCTCTCCCCACACCACCGACGACGCCTCCGTCGCCGCCCCCCCCTGCGCGCTTCTCCGTGGTATGGACGGGGTGCGCGGAGGCGAGTCCAGCGCCGACCGAAGCCGAAGAAATCCGAGCGGACCTCCGACTGTCCATCTTCGCCCACTTTTCTGTCGGTCGCCGATGACCATGGACGGGCTGCGCGGGCGAACGCTCAACTCCCACGCCTCGTAGTTGACAATCCAGATGGTCTGCACGCTCCCAAGGTGGGCCGAGCACAGCACGGAGTGGGCCTGCCCGGTGGTCGAGGGACGGCTGCCAGAGAAAGCTGCGAAAGGATGGCAGCGCTGAAGGATTTCGAGCCGTACGCCGAAGAATGTCGACTGGGCCACAGGGCACTGGACCTCCTTGACTCCTGGGTCCCACGGGCATGAGCGGCGAGGGCTTCGCGAGGAGAAGCCTTGGACTCCTTCGCGGCCTCGCGAACCTGAACTGCGGTCATTCTTTCGAGAATCGAACTCTGCACACCGACGCTTGTTCGGGCCCTGCATTGGAATTCGCACTAGGGAGCGGATCCTGGTGTATATGGGAACCTGGTGTATACAAGTTTCGTTGTCTCCCCGGGACATCGGGAGAAAAAGCATACACCACACCGCGCCAGCATCGTCCCCGACCCTCAAAAAGTCCTGGGATTGAAAAGCAGCCCGCCACTGGTAATGTATCTGTTCCAGTTTCCGACCTTCGCGGCCTCGAGAATCGGGTCGGGCGAAAGGGGGGGATAGCAAAGGGGGGCTTTGAGAATCAGCTCCCGTAGCTGATTTTCCCGGCGCCTCCCGGCGCCGGGAGGCGGCCATGTATCGAGGAATGGACCCCTCGGCGGGGCCGAAACCAGCTGCATGCAGCAAATTTCGTAACCCCCCCTTTCCAAATCCCCCCCTTTCGTCCAGCCCGAGAGAACCTGAGCTGCAGCCCATTTTTTTGGTGTCCCTCGCACCACGCTGGAGCAGAGAGGGCGTCACTGGCGGGCCCCCGAGGTACCGCGCCTGCCTGGCAGTCGCAGTTCTGTCGCGCCCTCGCGCGCGCTGGTCTGGGGACCCACAGAACATACACCACCACCACCACCACGCCGAGTCCTCCTCTCTCCTCTGCCCTCCTCTTCCTCCCCTCTTTCCTGGGAGAGGGAGGGGGTTGAGAGAGGTGGTGGTGGTGGGCCCCCACAGGTTCGCGCGCGAAGTCGGCCAGATCCTGCCAACGTGAGCCATCTAATCGACCCACATCGTAGCACATCGCTTCCCGCGCGGTGTGGCCAGCAAGCGCCCGCTGCGATGCATGGGCTATAGGACTTCTCGGTGCGCGCGTCGTCAAAAGGGGTGGGGGCGACGCACGCACGGCATCAGCATGTTGGGGTGACTTGGAGGGCGGAGAGATACGGATACGTGTTGTCCCCGGACCTCTCTTGGGGTGCGTTCTGACCAGAATTTCGAGGCGAATCCAGCGGTGACAACGAGGATTCCCCAGGAGGACCAGGAAAGACCGAAAACGAAGGGGGACAACACGTATCAGTATCTTTTTCTCCCCCGAGTGACGCCGACCACTGGAGGAGGAGGAGGAGGAGGAGGAGGAGGAGGAGGAGGAGGAGGAGGAGGAGGAGGGGGAGGAGGCGGAGGAGGAGGAGGAGGAAGGAGGAGGAAGGAGGAGGAGGAGGAGGAGGAGCAGGCGACTTCCAGCCCGACGGCATCGAGGCCGCGAGCACACGCGCCCAGGAGGGGAGTGGCAGCGGCCGAGAGCGCAGACCGGCTCGAGGGGCGGTGGAGGCGAGCCGCACGGGGGAGGCGTACGCAGGCAGGCCCCGCGAGCAGCCGCGGCAGGTGAGCAAGTCTCTCGGAAGCCCTCCTCCTCCTCCTCCTCCTCCTCCTCCTCCTCATCCTCCTCCTTCCCCTCCTCCCCCTCCCCCTCCTCCTCCTCTGGGGGGAGAAGGGACCCGCGAGGGGAGAAGTGAGCAGGAGGAGGTCTGGGAGAGGTGAGGAGGGGGAAGAGGGCCATGCGCCCGTGGCAAACTGCGGGAGCAGTTCCAGAAACACACCGTGCAGGCATGTTGCCTCAGTGATGCATCCCAAAATTCTGCAGCACGGCCCTCTGATTCCTGGCCTCTGGATCACGGTAGACGTAGACGTCGTTGAGCTTATCGAGCGTCGCCGCGGCCTCGTTGATGGACTCATCGCTGGGCAGCTGGACAAACGTCTGAAGCGTGGTACCACGCGCTTCATGCACGTACGACAAGATAACCATAGTCAGGGAATCATCGACCTCTGCGTCCATAACAAAATAGTTAGGAACCCAGAGCTCAGAGAAATCCTTCTTCCGCAATTTATCATCTCTGAAAGAATCAATATACTCGGCGATCTTGCCTTCGTCCAGATCTTTAGGAATGATACCCATCATTGCGAAGATCAGATTGACGACGTCCGTCATGCAACCCTCGACGCCGTAAGCCGCGAACGCCTTGCTAAGCCAGCGGAAGGCGTGATGCTCTAGGGTTACGGTTTCACCGTCCGAGTTCTTGGTCTCTATCTTGCGGAGCACGTCCGATGCCTCCTTGTCGAATCCGAAGTTGTCGAGAAGGTGGTCAAAGTGCAGCTTGTGCGCCCATCCGTCGCCCGCGTACCTGTTCACGAAGGCTGTCCAGGCACCATGATCTGGAACATCCGCCGGCTTGAGATCCAGCAGATCTTTGACGAAACTCTCTAGCTTGTCTATGGCGGCCCCGTTCCTCTGGGCGATGTCGTCTATGCTGCGCGCAGCATTGACAAGGTCGACGACTTTGGGCATCTTGCTCTGGACTACGCGGTTGAGAACATAAGAAGGTATTCTGCACGAAAGCCTCTGTGCAAGAGCTCTCATATCGGCGGGCTCGAAGATCTTCATCACCGAGTTCGGGATGTTCGGCCCGTAGACTGGCACGTTGATAGACAGAAGCGACTTCGGCAGCTCCATCTTCTTGCTGTTGTTGAAAGGCGGCATGGAAGCCTTGATGTTCATGGCTTCCTCGTCGACCGCCTCGGGGTCCGTGGACAGCAGCCGCGCCAGCCACGCGCGTCGAGCTCCCGAGACCGTCGGAGTCTGGTGATTGCTCCAGAACACGGCGATCGTCGACGGGCTCTTCTCCTGCATTTCCGGCAGGCCGAAGTCCGAGTCTTCGTAGAGCCAGTCGACGAATGTGCCAACGGAGATCTGGCCGTTGGACTCCTTGGGGGTCACGGACACGAAGACGTTGAGGCCCTCGTCCGAGATGATCGCCGAGCTCGGGTCCAGCTGCCGGAGGAGGCTCTTGAGATTCTCGGCGGTGACGTACAGCCCCTCCGGGTCCCCGGCGAGGCGGCTGAGCTGCGTCTTCAGCCGCCCCACCAGCGGGGAGCCCATCCGAGCAGAAGCCTCCCCAGCTCAGCGCCAGGCCAGGGCCAGGGCAGCGGTCAGTCCGTGGGGGGGGGTGCAGCCAGCGGCATCGGCCGGCGCGGCTTGAGCCAAAATGGTTACGGACGAACCTGAGCTGCAGTCGATGTAGCGACTGCTCCCCGAGATCCACTGGAAAATGGAGGAAGGAGGACGGGGCAGCCGACAGGCCTCAATTTTCTGACTGTAGCTATCAAGCGCCCAATTCGACTGCCCATACTGCGCACTGGGGCAAACCCCGCCATGCTCCTCCCGCCTGTTGCTGCTCAGGTGGTGGGGTCGCTCCGCCAGGCGTGCCTTACTGTCTTGAAATGCCTCGGCGGTCCAGTCAGGTGGGCGATGAAACACATTGGGTCTTGCGCGAGATGGCCCAGCGGCCTTACGCAGCGGCTCACGCGGGCCGCCAGCGTGACACGCTACACTGGCAGCGAGGGCGCTCACGCGCGACGCTGCGCGAGCAACCTGCGCGCCGGTGTCGGTGAACACGACGCCGTTTGTCTGCGTCGCTCGGTGGAGCACCGCCGTCCAAGCCAGCCTGCGGGTTGGGTCGAGCACCGCATCCAGTCTAGCGGTTTGGGGTTCGCACTGACGACCTCCTCCTCCTCCTCCTCCTCCTCCTCCTTCTCCTCCTCCTCCCTCTCCTCCTCTTCCTCTCCTCCTCCTCCCCCCCCTCCTCCTCCTCCTCCTCCTCCTCCTCCTCCTCCTCCTCCTCCTCCTCCTCCTCCTCCCCCTCAGAGAAGGGGCGAGGTCCTCCGGCAGGCGGCTCGAAGAATGGGCGACAGGCCTACGAGGCATCTGTGCTTGCGAAGCTGCTGCGAGGTTTTCGGGGCGTTCCATGTGCGCCCCAGCGCCTGCGCCCCATCGCCTTCCTGCTCCTCTTGGGGCCGCCGTTTCCCGGCCATGCAAGCAAGCGAGAGCCAGGCGCCTCGGCGGCGCATCGGCAGAAAAAGGTACCTTGCAGACGTGCATTGGAAGCGTGGCGAAGACAAGCGAGGTCCGCCGAGTTTCCCATGCGGCGCGCCCACAAACGACGACGACGGCGACAACGACGACGACGACGGAGAGGACGGAGAGAGGGAAAGTGAGGAAGACGAAGCGAGAGGCCTGAAGGGAGGCAGGGTCGATGATCCTTAAGACGTGTGTTAGCCACAACGTGTGTTTGTCCATCGAGGCCCTTCGATACGACGCAGGCGATGCAACGATCTAGTAGTTGGGCTGAATGGTGTAGACACACGTTGGGCTAACACACGTCCTGAGGATCATCGACAGGGGAGGGGGAGGAGAGGCCCCGGCCATGAGGGCCGACAAAACAGTGCACCGTACAGACGCCTCGGGAGACGCCAACGCGGTATCCGGTGCACACAGGCCGTCCGCGGAGGGCAGTGCGAAGCCTGCGTGCCGCAACGAGGAACCTCACAGAAGGAACGTATGGAAAAACACACACTGTGGAAAAACAACACAAACACACACACAAACACACACACACACACACACACACACTACACACACAGTGGAAACAAAAACGCACACGGTGGGAAAACAAACGCTGTTTGTGTGTGTGTGTGTGTGTGTGTGTTTGTGTGTGCGTGCGTGCGTGCGTGCGTGCGTGCGTGCGTGCGTGCGTGCGTGCGTGCGTGTGTGTGTGTGTGTGTGTGGGTGCGTGTGTGCGTGCGTGCGTGCGTGCGTCAATGTGTGTTTTTTGTTTTGTTTGTTTGTTTGTTTGTTTGTTTGTTTGTTTGTTTGTTCGTTTGTGTGTGTGTGTGTGGGTGGGTGGGTGGGTGGGTGTGGGTGGGTGGGGGCGGACGGGCGGGCGGGCGGGCGGGCGGGCGGGCGGGCGGGCGGGCGGGCGTGCGCGAATGTGTTTTTTATTTGTGTGTGTGTTTGCGTGTGTGTTTTCCCAAATCCCTTTCCGGGCCCAGCTGCGCCCAGGCCTGCGAAGAGCGCCCCGAGGGGAAGCCGCGAAGTGGCGAAAGGAACCCCCGAACCGCTTCCGAAGACAACGTTCGGCGGCGCGCCGCGGGGGGGGGGGCGGGGGCAGCAGAGGCGGGCCTTCTCAGCAGGCTCGGATGACGACCGGCCTGCTGAAAAGTGTCCTTGTCCCCCGCCTTCTCCAACGTCACAAAGGGCGGCTGTTCAGAACGCTGGAGGGTTTCTGAGAAACCCCGCTGCCTTTTGAAAACGCCTGCCTCCTGTCAGTTCCCCCCTCGGCGCGCCGCCGAAACATGGCGCTTCTCCCGAAGTCTTGACTGCATCTGCGCCCGCAGACTTCGGGGCCGCTCCGCCTGGCCCCCCCCCCCTCCTCTCCGAGAGCGGAGGCGCTGTGCTGCGAGAGCGGAACTCCGAGCCCGGGCCAGGAGCGGGGCGTCCCTCCGGGAGAGGGAAGCGCCAGCGCTGCGCACGCTGGCGCAAAGGGAAAGGAACGGGCCTCCGTCCTGGGAGCTCCAGCCGGCCACGGGGGGGTGAGGGGCCGCGTCCGTGATGCGATCCCACTGTTGCGCTGCCGCTCGTTCTCGCCCTGTTTCGGGGGAGCTCCAGCGCGAGCGGAGAGATTGCCCTGCAGTGTAAATTTTCGGGTGGGCGCCCTCGGCCTGACCCAGAACTGACCGGAAACGGGAAGGGTGGAGAGATGAGACGGGGAGGAGGCCGAGCTATAGCTGCGCCCGCGCCGAATCTGACATCCTACTTCTCTCACGTGTTACGCGCGGCCCGAAAATCATGTGAACGGAAATGCGGAACCGAAGGAGATCCGCATGTAGAGGAGATCCGTAGGTAGAGGTAGGATGACTGCGATGAAGGGTTGTATCCTTCGACGCTGTCCGTCCGAGGGAGATCCGTAGGTAGAGGAAGGATGACAGCGATGAAGGGTTGTATCCGCCGACGCTGTCCAGCCATATCAGACTGCACATCTCCAGCACCTGAGCCGAAACGGGCAGCGGTAGAGAAGAGCAAAAGTGGGAAACAGAGGGGATTAATACACGAGTACGCACACACATGCACATTTGTTTGCGTTGGCGGCAAACACATACACACATACACATGCACACACATACACGGCCAAACAATACAAAGACCACGGCAGGAGAAAGGAGGGATGAGGAGCAGACGAACACTCCAAGACACCGCGAGAGAGCGCACAGGCCAACTGGCCGTAGGCGGGCCGTGGCACGCATCCGGGGACCTGCGAAACGGACGCTGCCGAACACCTCGGCCCACCACGCGATGAGAATCCGTACTGCGCAGCTGGATTTACAAATGCGCCGAGAAATCAATCGGCTCCAAGGCCGCGCGAAAGCAGATCTGCCGAGAGTGCAGATGATGCGCAGCGCAACGTGAGACAACAGGGCTGACCAGGCCCTGTAGAAGAGAGGAAGAGAGAGCGAGAGAGAGAGAGAGAGGAGGGGGAGGAGGAGGAGGAGGAGGAGGAGGAGGAGGAGGAGGAGGAGGAGGAGGAGGAGGAGGAGGAGGAGGAGAGGAGGAGGAGGGAGGAGGAGGAGGAGGAGGAGGAGGAGGAGGAGGAGGAGGAGGAGGAGGAGGAGGAGGAGGAGGGGGGGGACGGCTGCGAACGACCAGGCGCGGGGCCTTGTGTGTGGGCGGCTGCACCGAGCGCTGTGGCCCGCGGAGCCCCGCCGATGCCCTCGCGCACAGACTCGCCGAACGTGCCGACCAAATCGGCACGGGGAGGCGTGCTACAGTCGGGGCGTTGCCCTAAAGAACCCTAAATAAGGAACGAGGCCCCTTTTTTCCATAAGTTAACCTTCGATTTCGTGTCGAAACCTAAGGAAAGCCTGAGGCAAGCTGTGAAACACTTAAGGAACACGGAGCCCCTCCCCGACGAAAAGGGTTCCTTCTTCAGGGCCCCGACTGTATGGGAGGCCTCGGCGTGCAGCCTGTACAAGGCGTACAAGCCAATGGCACGCAGAACCGCGGCCTTGGCGACGGCACTCTCTTCGCGCACATGACTCGGCAGACACTGCACGCACGGACGCACACACACAGAAAGTCGACCAACCTGTCGGAACTTGGCGGGGCATCGAGCAGCAAATACTTCGAGCACGGCTGGTGGAAAGGCGCGCACGTCGCATCGTGTTCAGTGCTGTCGTCGCGCCCGCTGCATCCGAAAATGCAGCCGCCACGGAGTAGACGTTCCACTTTGTTTCGACAGCTCGTAGTGACAACTGCCTCCCAATCTCCCAGTGTTCCAGCCCTCCTCCTCCCCCAATAACCGCACTGGCCCTCTCTGGCGGCGCGCACAAGGGGGTAGGGAGAGGGGGAAGGCTTCGTAGAACGAGGCTGCTTCTCAGGAGGCGCTGGCCCTACATCTATAGATCAGGCCCGCGCCTTCAGGGGTGTTTCTAAGAAGCTTTCCCCCCTCCCCCTACCCCCCTCTGCGCGCGGCCGACGATAATCCCACCGGCCCTCTGGGCGGCAGATGTCCGAGGGGGGGCGTGGGAGAACGAGCATGTAAATACTGGTCGCAGGCCTCTCGCGCGCGTGGCGTAAGGCTCTGTACCTTTTCGCGATTGGAAACGTCAGCACTTCTCGAACATGATTGCGCCCAACACAACAACCCCCCCACGTTCAGGCGACGTCACCCGACCACCTCACCAGTCCTGGCTGGCCCCATCCTGGGCCAAAGATCGGCGCAATAGGCCTTCCTGGCTCGGCCAGGCAGGCATAGATTTAAGTCAACAAATGGTCAAAAAAGACTGAAAACTTAAGTCCAAAAATACCCTAAAATACTCAAAAATGGTCAAAAAATCGTTCCCAGACTATTTGTTGACTATTTTGGAACATTCCCCCTGTAGAAGGACAGGCCCGACTTAAGCATAGACACCGATCCTGGGCCCAGAATGGGCCCGACCAGAATCGGTGAGGTGGTTAGCAATTGTCCCCCAACACGTTCTGTCGCCGACGCCGCGGACGCGGCGCCCCCAGAGGACGCCGGCGCCATCGGAGCGCAAGAGCGTGAGACGCGCGGCGCCCTGGCCAAGTAATCCTCGGAGCTGAACGAACACGACGGACGCGAGTCATGAGCGCCGGCAGCATTTCGTGACGCGGGCCCTTTGACTCCACAGAGCGCGTTTCTTTATTTTCGGCAATACCAGGCGTTACAGGGGGGGTGGGGGGGGTATAACGTAACGCCCCACCCCCCGCCGCGGGGCTTCGGCACCGCAAGAGCATGTTTTTCCCTACCTAGGCTCTGCCTAGAGGGTTCTTACTCTCTTTCTTAAAGGGGCCGGGCAGTGCACACCGCCCCGGGCGGTTCCCCCAGTATCCGCCCCGCGGTTCCCCCAGTTACGTCCCCTTAGTTTAGCGTTGCTTATCTCATCTTAGCTTAGCTTATTTCATCTTAGTTTAGCTTAGCTTCATCTTAGCTCAGGTTTATCTTAGCTTAACTTACCTTCATCTTAGCTTCGCTGAGTTTTAGCATAGCAGAGCACAGCATAGCATAGCATAGCGTAGCATAGCATAGCGCAGCACAGCATATCATAGCATAGCCCAGCATAGCATAGCATAGCGCAGCATAGCATAGCATAGCATAGCATAGCATAGCATAGCATAGCATAGCAGCACAGCACAGCA